CTGTTTAGGGCGCTGGGAAAATTGAGAAAAATTGATGACAACGGTATACAGGATGGCATACTTATATCTACTTTGTCAAACAAAAACCCTCGTTATTTACATTCAAGGGTGCTGTCGAGGTAGCTTGGGGCGTTATTAAATCTGACAGGTAATGTTTTATGCCATCGTTAATATCGCATTTTGTAGAAATTAGTTTGCCTTCGTCGAAGACTTTGATGGCCTTGTCCTGTTGTCATTATCACCCGCTAAATTTAAATCTGCCCCAACGCAAACATAACCTTAATCGAGGTTTTAGTGCATCCCTAAACCTAACGCTAATCCGAATCCTAGTCCTAAACCTAAATTTAACTCAAACCTTTATCATAAGCTTTATCTCTGCTAGCCGTCTACCATACTTTACCTTAACAGTAACCCCACTATCTAGAAAACCAGACATATCCATAAGGTGCACCCAAAACTTAAAATTACACATGAAACCACCATAAGCCTAAGTCTAACGCAGCATTTGGACCTAGCACTAAACGTATACTCAACCCGCTCTACAAGTCTAACGCTGAGCGTTATTAGTAACACCAGTAATGACTGGGAACCTATGTCTAAATATGAACTAACCCTTATCGCTTAAACTGGAATCTTGTCCTTTCTGTGACGCATGCTTCCTGAGGCTAACCCCATCTACGTGTAACGCCATCCCAACACTAACTCAAACCTATCCCTGCAGCTAAGCCTACCCTTATCAATGGTTCTGACCGGAACACAAATCCCAAAGCCAACAACAGTCTTAGCAATGAAACCGATTTTTTGGATGGGGCTAGTACTAACTCGGCGCTATCAAAATTCAACGACACAGATAGCTTTGAAATGGTTTTGATATTTCCACCAGATGCTTTTCAATGGCGTGGTAGGGCGAATTTCTGATACTCAGGAGTAGACGCAGGGGTAGCCCTCGTTTTTGAATTTTCGACAGAACGTTCATCCTGCGTACCTTCGTGGACACAGTTCTCAGAGGATAGTTTGCGTGTAATGCTCGCGAACTCTCAACTCTTAAATTTGGTACGCAAAACCGACCGCCGTTAAAGGCCACATCGGTTTTTACGTATTCATTCACTCGTTTCTATGGAGGGCATATGTTGGCCATACAGCGAGGCGTCCGGAAAAGAGGAAACGCGAACACCCCGGCTTGGCTAGGAAGGGGTAAAAATTGATCGATTTTGAGTTTCATGCTTGCACATCTGATTGACACGAAACGCCGAATCGACACCAAATAACCTCTTCCTGTTATCTACGGGGCACCAGCTAACTTCCTTAAAGGCATACGTCAACGTATGCTAGTAACAGCCAAGACAGTGGTTATTCACTTAAGGATTTCAGCATATTTTTGTCGGAATTCGTTGGTACAAGTGGTCTGTCTTCCCCGGTCGACTACAGGTGGTGATCCCATGTTGCGCCAAATCCTAGTACTAGTCATGCGCACTCCGCGTGTTTGACATACAGACACCGCTCACACCCTGCCACACCCCTTCCCCCAGTCCCAGCGACCGCAACTCGTCGAGTTTGTCATGCGGGCGGCGCGGGGGCGCGAAGTGTGCGTAGCTAACTACTGCACTTCTTTTAGTACTTGAATGAACTCGCGTTTCCTCTTGCTGTCTGTTACCTGCGCCGTGACTTATTAATTTTTCCGAAGCGGCTAGCTTAACACTTTTATGCCATGTCGGCACTCACCATACGGTTCATGCTTTAAGTGTCGTCGACTGCGTTTTGGTCTACGTTGCATCGGTTGGAAGACAGACGATCGGCTCCCTCGAATTTCCAGACGGTTTCTGTTGCCGAACGTGTACGCCGTGACTTATTTACTTCTTCAAGAATACGTGTGCGTAGTCCCTCGCATAACGAATAATAAGACCTTTAGATTGAGTTGGGCTTATGCGCAAAATCCGCCTCGAGATGATTGTTAAATTGTCTTCAGGAAGCAGTCCTTCAGGTTCCTTGCTCGGGAAGCTGTTGCACGGAATAGGCTTTTGTAATATGTGACAGGAATAATTCCCACGTTTGCTTTATGCCAGAGCTGCCTGAGTCAAACCACGAAGGATATTGAACCTCGTCTACGTGGACCGATATTGCGCAATTCAACATCGATGCTCCTTCGTTAAGCCACCGTTTCAGTCGGCTCCAATAGGCCTTAGTCGTATTGAAGTGTTTGCCTGTGGTCGGATCCTTAAAATGCTTAGTATGACTGACAGTAAAGTTCTTAATGTCGATGCATTTGTCGTCTAAATCAACATTTTGCCACATTTGATAGCAGTCCCTTTGTTCGGCAGTATTCCGCCATTTTTTCCGAGTTTATAGTTACGGTTATTTCTTTCACTTTCCTCAAAAAATTAAGCTACAGTTGTTTGACTTTTCTTCGACCTGGAGACCACAGTCTGTGTTTTGAAAGGAAAGAAATAAGCATTATTACCTTCTTTGTTTGTTGACGCGTTTCCTTTTTGTACATAGTGTTTACGTATATATTTTATGTTCATTAATTTTTGTACCACAGTAGGTGGACTGACCCAGGAAATTTCAGCGAAATTCCGAAATGCGTTTTCGCCTCGTAAATATTAATTAAGTACAGCTGTTAAACTGGTCAGCCAGCAACATAATTCTGTAATGATTCAGTTACCCCAGGATGCCGGCTTTCGAATGATTTTCTTCCCGACTGCAGGCAACAACTATACTTTTCAAAACATGACTACTTAAGTAGCATGCAAACTTTCTCATTGATTTTAATGTCCTCAAAAAGTCAATTATATTTCATGGAAAATATGCATAAAAATATCCATTTTTTGATCATTCGGTAGAAAATGGCGTCCTTGCATATTCTATGCTCAAAGGAAGGGTATCAATCGATTTGAAAAAAGTTTCTAATTGTGCGAGTTTTTAATATCGCGAAATGGCCATTCATAAAACGTCATGTATCTGCATTTACTGATGTGGTTAGAAAGTTAACTATATGGCTCACATCCACTGCTAAATTTTATGAACCCCACATGGTCTTCCCCTAATACTGTAGAGAAATGTATGGTTTTCCAGAAGCAGAAAATATACGCCTCGTAGTTTAAGAACCCTGAATGCAAGTGTAACGGCAGGCCGGGTTCAAAATTATTCGGGAATCTAAAAAGTCTTGCAAAATCGAATCATACCCTTCCTTCGAGTATAAAATTAGAAGAAGACGTAATTTTCTACGGAAAGAGTGAAAGAATGAATATTTTTTATGCATGTTCTATCATTGAATTTTTAAGGGCATCCAAAATCAAGTGGAAAAATGCATGCAAATTAAGTAGTCATTTTTGCAGAGTAGTGTTCTTACATGCAGTCAGAAAGAAACTCATCCGCAAGCTGGCATCCTGAGGTAACTGGATCATTATAGAATTATGTTGCAGACTGACTATTTTTACAACTCTACTTAATTAATTTTTTCGAAACGAGAACGTGTTTCGAAATTTCGGCTGACATTTCAGGAGTTAGCCCACCTACTGTACATATATAAGTTGCCTCATTATAGAATTACAAAGAGGCCTTCCTACTTACGTTATTTGACTTTGTTTCTGCTCATTAGAGTACATTTCCATAGCTCCTCCAACGTTTATGTGCATCACAGTACCTCAGTATTTGGAACTTGCTGCTGTTCTTTCCTACTGGTTTCTCGTTATATTTGTTTCTGGCCTGCTTCAAATGTGCAAGTGGCGGTTTATTTAAATAACTCTTATTTATTGGGAGTTGGTTTTGGCTATTTTTCAAATAAAGCGTTCAAATCCGTTGCCACGTATAAACGTAGGAAAATACTTCCTATGAAAATCTATGTTTTTATATTTTATTGTATTCATTACGTTTCCCCTTCGCGGTGACACCTCACTCGTAAGACTCCCATTACCACCATCCCCGTATTACATAGACCTCGGGTTACTGCTTACTAGATGGGGTTATACAACTTACTGTTGCCGAGATTCGAACCCGGGATTTCGGTCATGGAGTCTGACAGTGGGTCATCAAGTCACGGGCCCTTTGTCGCCGTAGGGTTCTATTTTGACTCCCGAACCACGATGAAGCTAATACTTTCCCTAACCCGACCGGTGAATGCCCATCTATCATAAATATCTCTAATACTCAATAAAACCAAACATTAACTTATCACAAACTTCAAGTGGAAAACTAGCATTTACCTCGATCCTAACTCGACCCAAAAACTAAGACTAACCCCAAGGCTAAAGTTAACTTTGAAAAGATGTTGACATTCCTAATAAACCTTATCCTATCTCATACCTTGAAACGAACTTGACTGTTGACCGTAAAGTTAACCGGAAGTATCAACCAAGCCCGTTAAACATTTATAAGCAAAGCCCAAACCTTGATGTCGAAACAAAACCCAAAAACAAATCTTACTCTTAGCTTAAGCTTAAATCTTAAGAATAACAGTAAGCCTAATCCTATGTCCAATATGATTGCTGGAAACTTAACCCTAAAATGTACTTGAAACTTTATTCTGGCTATCGCTGTAAAACTAACTCTGTAAAAATTCAGGCGGATTTCGTGGACACGATGAGCAGAATATGCGTTTTTTGTATAATCATAGTCTGGATACACTTTTCGCCACCCCCAACTGCAGGAAAAGTGTCAGTAGATGCGGAGCCAACTCTACTCTACCTTCGTGGATGTGACAAAAGCCTTCGACGCGATGAATCGCGAAGGATGGAGGAAAATAATGCAGCGATTCGGCCGTCTCAAACGATTTACTCAGGTGGTGCGTCAGCTCCACGACGGCATGATGGCGCGAGTCATGGAAAATGGAGTCGTCTAAGAGGCATTTGCATTGACCGCCGGACTGAAGCAGGGCTGCGTCCTCGGGCCCACCCTCTTCAGTTCCATGTTCTCTGCCATGCTAATGGACGCCTATCGTGGCGAATGTCCCCGGGATCCGCGTCGCCCAAAGGACGGACAGTCACCTCCTCAACCACCGACGGATGCACTCCAACTCGCGCGTATCCGCAACCACCGTCCATGAACATCACTTCGTCGACGACTGCGCTCTCAACGCCACCGCGGAAGGGAACACGCAAAGGAGCATGGATCTCTTCGCCGCCGACCGCGAAAACTTCGACCTGATCATCAACACGGAGAAGACGGTGGTTGTGCATCAACGGCCACCCGCCGCTGCCTACGTCGCACCCCAAATAAACGTGAACGGTGCCCAACTGTCTGCCGTGGACAACTTCACTCATCTGGACAGCGCCCTCTCTCGCAGCACCAAATCGATGATCCGGATTTCCAAGGCCACCCAAATCTTCGGTCCCCTGTAGAACACCGTCTGGAATCGTCACGGTCCCCACTTCAGCACCAAACTCAAGATGTACAAAGCGGTCATCCTGTCGACTCAGCTGTATGGAGCGGAGACTTGGACAGTGTACAAGAAGTAGGAGCAGAACCTCAAGTAATTCCATCTCAGCTGCCTTTGACGGACACTAAAGCTGAGGTGACAAGACTAGATCCCCGACATGGATACACTGGAATGAACGGGAATTCTCAGTATTCACGCCACGCTGAGACAGCTAGGACTGCTCTAAAGCGATCATCTCGTACCGATAGACGACGAGCGGCTACCCAAACGACTCTTCTGTGGGGATGTCGCCACAGGTTGCCGGGGCCAAGGAGGTCAAATCCGTCGAGACAAGAATATCCTGAAGACCTCCCTGAAGCGTCTGCAGATCAATCCGGCCAACTGTGAAGCTCTCGCACAAGACCGACCGACCTGAAGGAAGACAATGAAGACAGGCGGAGCTATCTACGAGGCAAACCGCAACGTTGCCGCGAAAAACAAACGAGCCTGCAAATCTCCCTGTCCTCGCCTCATGTCCACAATCAACTCTAACCGCGCCTCTGATCTCCCATTGCCATTCTCCACCGTCTAAACAAACCCTGCGATGGTTCCTGCCCCCAACCATTGCACACAACCTTGACGCGCAGACAAACATTTGTCTCACCACAGCCAATATCAGCGTTGTGGACCCGGTCTATACCTGTCCTAATTGTACCCACATATTCACCTCATACACCGGCTTCGTTGAACACTTACGAATCCATCGTACAGAGACTGGCGAACCAGTGCCTGGAGCACCAACCTACACCTCAACTCCTCTCACTGTTCACGCACATTCCGCCACATCATGCGCATTCACGAAAACCTGCGATACACAACCGCCGACTGCTCCACATAATCACACCTTCCCCCACATGCACAAGCACCCGCACTTCGGAATAGCATCACCCATCACAAGCACTCGATTTCCACCTCACGTTTAAGTGAAAAGTGTCCTTTTCGACTCCATCTCCATGCGCTCCTCTGGCGCATGTGTGATCCCAATCTGAGACTATCACGATGCGTTAAGAGCCGTGGCTTGGAAGGTTGCCGACTGACGCCTCAACTTAGTCGACGCAGTCAGCCTAGTTGTGTGTGGCTCCCCAAACGAACCACGTGGTGGATGCACTAGATCAATACTGGGCCCATATTGGATCCTGACAGGCGTTATCGGAATGCGCATCATCACAAATGCCAACATTTCGGGATACGATAGCAGACCCAGTTGCCGGCAGACGTTGTGCACGCTGGAACCCATGCTGCCCCTGTTTGTGTTGTTGGTAACATCCTAGTCATTTGCTGTGGGGACGAGGGAGTGTGGAGTGGCGTGCCAAGATGTGGGTTCGATCGTGCCATCCACCTGCGCCTTCCCCCGCCTCCGGTCTTCATGACTCTGTCTTGACACTGGGTCCGGGTGAGGGAGGAGGATGCAGTGCCGTAGATACGGTGCAAGTCTGCTATCACTACAAACTAATCCACGTCCAAGTCATCGTCTCTGCTCTTACCTTGCTGTGGAGCATATGGTGCGCATTGTCGGAAACGACGCTCGAACCGTCGCGTGTGTGTGTAATGGCGGATTGGTGGGCTGAGGGCCAGGCTGTCACGGCTCTTTCTCAATGTGGCCTCCGGCATTCTCGTGCATGCGAGGTGTGTGTACTTGATGGGTAGTGCCTCTTGGCCGATGACTGTTTGGTTACCCAGCCTTGAAGGGTGATGGCCCAGACGAATGCAGGGCCGCGTGCCACCCTTCAGGGCCTCAAGGATTGTAATCGTCTGCTATGCCAGGATCAACAAACCATGGTCCTCGCCCCCTGGTGTGCGTTAGCAATTCTATGACATCTGGTTCCTTGCCGGCAGACGCACTTTCTCTCCCGCTGGATATACAAGTCGTGAAAATGTCTACCCTGTCGTCCTCGTCTCTCTGACCCACTGTGGTGCTGTTGTTGGTTAAAATTCTGGTCGTATGTTTTTTGTGGACCAGGGGTTGTGGTGGCACGCCCAGGTGCGGGTCCGGCCGTGACAGCCACCTGCGCCGTTTATCACCTCCGGTCATTTTGACTATGTTATGACACCGCGTCCAGCTTGGGTGGAGAGGGGGCGGTAAATCTTACAAAAGCTTACTCCCACTGCAAACTAATTCACGCGCAAGTTACGGTGTCTGCCTCATCTCACTGTGGAGCACACGGTGGACATCTTCGAGCATAAGAGTCGAACTGTCTGGATACCTTGGTCCTACTTGAATTTTGTGCTTTGCTAAAGAATTATCTAGACTTTTGAAAAATTTTGCCGATATATGTTTTACTTTAAACAAAATTCGCTGTTTTCTAGACGTTTACGGTTTCCGGATTTCCCGTTGTGTACTTCCGGCAAAGTCCAAATAATAAACAGCTTTATACTACCAGAAAAAAGCCACACATCTATTTTAAAATATTTTATAAATATGGATCACCTGGTAAAGCCCAAAATCAGCTTTAGTAAAACTGGACAGGGGGTGTTACTTCCGAATGTGCATTATAATTATGGACTTGTGGGACCAACACAGAGCTTCTGCAAGCGAATATGCGATGCTTTATAAAACTAACGTACAGGTAAGTTCTGAATGAACTCCTTCAATAACTTATTACTGCACTTCTGATGGCCCCAATAATTCGCGGAAACATTCACAAAGTTTATTCAAGGAGTATGATTCTGCAGCTGACGAAAAGGTGATTCGTACCAAATCCACCATATTCACGACATGACTTGAGGTTCTGTGGCGCACTTGACCGCATCGCAGCCTCACAGGAGCAGTTCTATCTAACAGATAACGTATTCGCAATCTAGAGACTATTTTGCCTGATTTCATTAACTTTCGTGCCTTTAAAATATGAACCGCAGTTTTCTTCAATGATTAAAGTCAGGAAAAATATAAACGTTAGATAAAAGCTTAAAGCGAGATTGCAAAGCA